CTTCTACTAGAAAATCCGTAATCTAAAAATAAAAAAAAATGCTTAACAATATACTAGAAATTCCAGTCATTGAGGTAAATAATGTTAGTGTTGCATATTAGGTAAAATAGTTGATATATAAAGTAAAATAAGAAATAGGTAATATATAAAACAAGTAAAATATTAGGTTAAGTCTTAGGTTGTATTAGGGGTTTGTGGCAAGGTTTTGGTAGTGGGGTGACTGCCTCTATAGAAGGAGGTGAGGGGCTGCCCCATGTCAGACAAAGACAGATCCAGCTAGCTCCAATGGACACACTGCAGGACATAGCTGAGCCCATCAGCCAAGCTGGTGGTACCTCTGGAAAAACATATTTAAGAAAGAGTAAAAATTGTTACACAGCAGTGTCAAGAGTGAGGGAAAAAATGTGAGAAACAACCCTGTGAACAGCCAGATGAGAGAAGGAGGGGGAGGGGGTCATCCAGGCATGAAAACACCTGTGGAGGAGACCAGGATGGAGCAGGTATTTCCCTGCAGCCTGTGGAAGAGCCCACACTGAAGTGGATATCCACACTGCAGCCTGTGGAGGACCCCACACCAGAAATGTGGAAATGTCCTGAAGGAATCATGGTCCATGGAGGACCCATGCTGGGAGCAGGTTTATCCTGAAGGACTGCAGCCCATGGGAAGGACCTACACTGGAGCAGGGAAAAATGTGAGGAGGAAGGACCAACAGAGATGAGGTGTTATGAACTGACTGCAACCCACATTCCCCATCTCCCTGCATTGCTCAGTGGGGAGGAGGAGGTAGAGAGGTCGGGAATGAAGGGATGACATTGAGTCTGGGAAAAAGGGAGGGGTGGGGGGAAGGTGTTATTCTAATTTGTCTTTGTTTCTCACTATCCAAACCTATTTTATCTGGCAATGAATGAAATTAATTTTCCCCCAGTCGATTCTGTTTTGCCCATGACAGTAACTGGCAAGCGCTCTCCCTGTCTATATCTGGACCCACCAGTTTTTTCCTCTTACCCTGTTGAGGAAGGGGAGTGAGAGAGCAGATGGGTGGGTGCATGGCAGCTGGCAAATGTCAACCCACCACACAGGTAAAGGCTGAACTGTCATAACAGCTTTGAAGAAGTACTGAGCAACTAAAATATATATATGCTCAAACTGGAGCCTACTCATCACAAGCTCATAGAAGTATTTCATTTATACCCTGTATTCAGTATGATGCTTTTAAGATATGACCAGTTATTTCAGATATTTAAAAATAAATCACACATGAAATTATAATCTAAAGTGGGTTTTGTTCTAATTCAGCTAAATGCTAAATTGCAAAAACAGTTTATCATAATGTCACATATATAAAATCAGGCTCAGGTTTATGTAACTTGTTCATGCAGGGTCTTAGAAGGGAGAAGATAGTTATCAACCTAGATGTTTAATTTTTATATTGCCTGCATATCCCATATCCTATCATTTCTTTATAGATGCAGAATAGCAACTTCAAAGGACTCATTGCTTGTGCTGCTTTGAACCTGTATTCTGTTATTCTGCATACACACACACACACACACAAAGACACATTGTCAAAAAAGTTTCTAAGTGGTACTGAGCTTGTGCACAGCTAGGAGTAGAAAAATGAAACCACAGAAAACTTATGTGCAGATTGTTGTAATCTTGTATGTTAAATCTTATATGTAAATATAATATGTTAAAATGCAACAGATATGGAGCATATTTTAGAATGTATAAATTCAGGTGTAAAATCCATTTTTAAATCAAGTCAGTGTCCTGCATCAAGTGGAAGTGTGCTTTGATATTTAAGTGGTTATATATATATATATACACACACACACATATAGTTTTCCCCTCTGTGTGAGTGTGCATTTGTACACTATGAGGACTAGGAGTATACCCTCTTAGATTTACAAGTGGCTTTAGTATTAGTTCATACTTAATTTAATTAGATTTATGTATACATATAAATCTTACAAAATGCTGAGCACTCGTTCCTGTTTGTCTTCATTCCAGTATTTAGGAGCATATTATGCTTCTAGGTATGGTAATTGTGGAGAGTTTTGGAAAAGAGCTCTACCAACCCCCCCCACAAAGGAGAGATTAAGTGGTTCAGGAAATTGCAGGTCTGGAAAATTCTTCCTTGACTAAATGGATCAACCATGGGCATTTACCACTGTCAGAAAATTAGGTCACGGATAGTATAAGCCAATTTTCTGCGGAAGTCCATTCAGGAATAAGTTAATTTTACATTTGCTGCTTTCTTTAAGTTGTAGTGACAATGCTAAAATGTCCATGCTCAACAGTGGCTTCAGCCTTTGAATCTCTGGGATGATTTGAAATGACTTTGTATTTCTTTTCAAGTTGTTCCAACACATGACTGGCGTTCTCATTAGAATGATCTTCATGCAAGGCCTGCCTGCTTCCCAGCTATCATCCACCTCCTGCTTTCCATTTTTGTCTAAAGTAAAGCTGCATCCGGCAAACACTTGGAAATACGCTCTGTGGTTACTAATTACCTGGGGTGATCTACTTAGTTATATGTTCCAGTACAATTAAGTCCTTTCTTTTCCTATTGTATCCACCTCATTATTAGTTATAGTGGTGACATTTATACTGTAAATAGGATGAAAGCATGAAAGGGAAACTGTGTGTAAAGATAGGACCATCGTGCAACGGATTAATAAGTACTGAAGTATTAAGGCTAATTGTAATACATGAATATGGAATCAAAGGTTTTGCTTATATTGTCTTCAAAATATTTTTGAGGAATGGTTTCAAGGTCATAGACCTACCTAAGATTGTGTTAAAATATGTGTGCACGTGACCATAGGGATAATAAGAGGCACAAATATTCTGTGAAAAGATATGTATTTAAAATGTCTAAATAAGCACGAGGGAATATTTCTAAAGGGAATGACATTTTAGAAGCAGATAGCAATAAATAGGAAATAATGAAAATGCATTTCAGGGACTATACTTTGACAGGACTGTTGGCTATCCTAAAATGACGTATAATAGAGTAAAATTACAGCCACAATTGTATATTCCGAAAGTTCAGGTTTATATATGACTTGTAAATATGCGTGGGCAGATTTATTTTTTTAATTGGTGTTTCTCTCTCCCTATCAATTAGCAAAAGAGAAAAGTGGTATTTAGATATTTAACTGAAAGTATCTTCCCCCTCACTCCAAAAAGACAGTTGTAGTTTAGTCCTAAGAATTAATTTAGTAGTTAGGAGGTGTCCAGATATTAAAATACTGTATTGTTTGAATACATAGGTGTGTTTTAAATGAAGCAAAGGCAGCTAGATTCTTAGCTCATGCCTTTGTTAATGCCAAAATGTTTCCAGCTGAATCTGTTGTTGTATTTTCTCCACACCTGGCTTTTTCTTAGGTCTCCTATCACCTCCACTTGAGTTGACTTCATGGTACTTGATCTTAACTGCTAGCAGCCATGCAGGAAAATTATTCCAAAGAACTACCTTTTTTGGTTTTTTTGTTTATAGCATCTTATGACTTCTAGAACTAGTTCCATGAACAGTTAGCAAACATTTACCAACAGGTCTGTGTTTAGTTCTGGAATTTCACAGTCATGTTTCAGGAATAGATTTATATGCTCCTTCATCATGTGTTGTATTGCGATGGCACTAAATGTGAGAATGAAGGACCTCTTGGGCTTGACAGTAAAAGGGGCTGTGGAGGAAGACAGACTCTCAATACAACTGAAGAAGGAAAACAAACCAGCACAAATACTGTTGCAGTGGATACTACCATTTGCCAGTAAAGAACTGAATTCCTGTGAGATGTCTTCCAAATAAAATTTTTTCTGTTAGAAAATTTTCAGCCAACTCTAATATTCTTGCTATTGGGGTATTTGCTGTTGGAATATACTTCATTAAATCAATAGAAGGAGCAAAAGCAAACACTTCAGCATAAGGCACCATCTGGTAAACAGTGTAAGAGGAGAGGTGATATGCAAACCTTAGTTTTGAAGATCTATCTGTAGCTCCAATCAACTTAAAGTTTGTCAGTTTTGACTAGCAAGGCAAAAGCTAAAATAAAACTTAAGAAAAGACTCATTCTAGGGCAATAGGAGTTTTTAAGTCAAGCTTTAGATTGGTGCATCTAAAGAAGTTAGTCCCATTAGTCAGTTGAAGTGGAGCTGGCAAACCTAAACAGTACAGGTTTATTTGTAGACCATTTATTATTTAAAATGGCAGGATTTCCTGCCATTAAAATACACAAAGCTTTGCTTTGAAGAAAACTGCAGCATCACTGTGTTCACCATAGATGACTGTTCTTCCTTGAAGAAAGGACTCCAGTTCCAAACCAGTAAGAGGTTTTGCGTGAGCACTTCTGATGGAAGAAACCCACTATTGATCTGAGGAGTACTGTGGATTCAGGGATGAATAGGATAAACTAGTGAGACCTGACACTGCAGAGAATGTAACAGAAATGCTGATTGGCTTATAATCATGAAAAAATCCTACGTGTTCCACTCTTCACCTGACTTTTTTTTTTTTAAATTTGTCTGAAATAGTCTCTTACTATGTGTCTCTAGAAATATGAAAAAGGGTTAGACTAACTTTTCAAGAGGTAACAGTACAAAACCAAAACAAATTGCAGATTTTTGGAAGGGATAGAAAGCACTGTGGATTATGCATGGTGGTAAATGGCTCATTTTGGTAATGTTACATATGTGCATTTTGTCCATAACTGGACTTATTCTTCCTTGAGTTTGCTCTAGTTTTATTTCTGTATGAAAACTTGCTTCTTGAAATAATTGTTCCATTGGTCATCTTGGATCTTGTTCTTCTGGCAGCCATCACAGACATTTTCCTGAAATTTTAGCTCTTATTTAATTCGCTGTAAAATTGGTGGTGGGATTAATTTCTCTCAGATGACCCTTTAATGCTCTGGCAATGCCTAGTTCAACCTGCCATTCTATTAAGTCTTTTCAGAAGTTACTGAAATAGTCTCATTATTTTTTTTTTTTATTGTAGGTTTCATATATACTGGAGAAGTTGTGCATCGAATGCTAACAGCTACACAATATATTGCACCTTTAATGGCAAATTTTGACCCCAGTGTGTCAAGAAATTCAACAGTCAGATACTTTGATAATGGTATGTAGTAGTGCTTCATAAATGAATGTGTCTGTGTCCCTTGGCTCTTCATATTTTCCTAAATAACTATTTTTGAAGCAAAAATCAAAGTTTTTTTAATTTTTTTTTTTTTTAACTCACAGGTTGTATAAAGCATGTGGCTAGACATCCATAAAGAGTTCTTAATTTAGAACATGGTTAAAGAAGTCATGAATGCTTTTTCCTAATTGGACAGATATCTTCTGGATATTGAAGTACATAAAACTCAGTCTAGCAATGTATTTTATCAGTTTTAAAAGGAAAAATCTGTCTTGTATGAAAGTGCAAGTTCCTGTTACTTCAAAATACATAGTAAATACCGTCCATCCACTAGCTAAAATGAAAATAGCATTTGTGGAATGCAGTAGCAAGAATACACAGAAGCAGGGCAGGTATAAGGTTAATAAACCTGTCAATGACTAAGTGTGCATGGAGTCCCAGGACTGGAATTCAATACACTCATCTGCACCACGAGTTCTCAACAGTCCCTTGTACCAAAGATTGAAAGGGTAAAAGGCAAACTGCAGTGTTATACTTGAAGCTCTGTGAGATATTTCAAAGGCCTTAAATGTGTGGATGTTTTTCTCATGAAGTCAGTTATAATCAATATTTTGAAAACATAACCTATGTGATTAAAAGGCATCTGGTGCCTTACCTCAGGCCTTTAGTGATCAAATACAATGGTAGTGACTATCTATTCTGAATTTAAAACTTAGAGAGTTTAGTATCATGACTTAATGAGATCTCTGATTGTTTAAAATCTTCTTGGATAATCCTGTGCCATTCTATGTATGTTTATTCATAGTGAATTTAAGCATAAATTATGGACATGTCCAAAAAATGTCACATTTCCAATGAGGTGTGTTAATTTTTATTCTTTAGATCAGGGATCAAAATGTATCCTATAACCTTTGCACTTAGTCATAACCTTTCCTTTCAATCTAGTCATTACTTGCAGCATTTATTTGTTAAAAATCCAATAAAATAGACTTACAAGAGAAAATCTGACTCCTCGCATGGAGAATTTTCAAACAGAAAAAAAAGAAATTTAATTTCATAAATTATTTGACATTATGGCCTGAGATTTGTCATCTTTACTGAAAGAATATGAGGATTCTGGGGAAGAAATTGCTAATTCTCATTGTATTCCTGACTTCCAGTCTTCATACCAGGTGTATCAGGCAGTATCACATTGCTTTCATGACAAGGTTGAATGCTTCTTTGAGATTTTGGATCCCTTTTCATGTGTAAGGCATGATGATCTTTTGGACCCCATGTGCTTTAGGACAAAGAATTTGCTATCTTACCCCAAATAAAAAGGAACTGAGCAAATTGTATCTTCAGCTCCTTATTTCTTATTCATCCCTGTTTTATCCCTCTGGGTAAGTGTGCTGCTTTAGAGCGGCATCTGTAATGAGGAAGCACAGAGTGTGGTGACCCATCCAAGTCTCACTTATGGAGCTAACTGCAAGGAACTTATGTACACATGAATCTACATCAAGGTCCTGGGAATGAGAAGACTGTTTTGGAGGCAGCTGACTTCCACTTTAGCTTGGGGTTCTGAGATGCACATAGATCTGAGGTACTCAAAGACTGACTATAAGAAGTTCTGGCTATTTTTGCTCCAATAATTTTAAAAGTCCCTTTAAATTCCTTTAAAATGAAATCTAATACAATCAAATAAATATTCATAAAGCAGTTAATGAATGTGGTCACAGAAGGAAAAATGCACTGTATGCACAATTAATGAGCATGTACTAGACTCATGAAAGACACATGGGACAGTAACATGGTGGACTTAGTGCAGTATGCACCAAAAATTTGCATTTAATGAAAGTTACAATACAGAAGATCTGTGACAAAAGATGTTTCAAAGATATATCAAAAATGCATTGAGCTGGATGCATAGTGACCCACCTTGAACACTCCAGGAAAAAAATGAAATTCAAGTACTGTAAATCAAAGCACATAACTCCCATTAGTGCCTAAAAGAGAAGTATGTTGAGGAAGGCATATAAAGACAAAAAAGTCATTTTCAGTAAACACAGTTTTGGTGGTAAGTGTCTTTCAGCCAAGCTGCTTGAATGTGTCTATAACCCTCAACATCTGTAAAACATGCTTACAGGGTATACAAGTCGCTTGGGGTACATTTTTAGTGTGATAAGTGGATATTCAGCCAGAGAACTCCCATGAATATTAATGAGCCTCTTGCAACTAAATCTCTGCACACCAGACACAATATTTACCCTGCCTATGAATTCTTAGAGGTTTTCATTTAAACTGCATTTATTTATTGTCAACATCTAATATTTTTCAACTTGTAGAACATCAGCAAGGGCTTGCACCATGCAGAAAAAAATTAATGCTATTTATATTAATGCATAGTTAATGGAAGAATCTGAATTCCTCAAATAATAACTTTTACTAAACAGGCAGTGCTATTACCTCTTCACATTTCAAAGTCATCAGGGTATATATATAGATAGTGTAAAAAAAGCCACTGCAGAGCAGTGGTTGTGGCAGCACACCTGAACTCCTAGTGCTGGATCCTACCTTTAGTGATTGTTGACTCCTTGTGAGATTCCAAACAAGTTACTTGGCCACTCTTGCTTTAGCAGACTTTTGTGTGAGTAGTTGAGGTAGATATTTGTGGCACTGTGGTGTCTACCATTAAGAGTATTTCAGCAGCAACTTGTATTTGTAATGTCTTCGGCATTTCAAGATACTGGGCTGAAAGTTGCTAAAAAAGAGACAAATCACTGTTCTTCTTTCAAGTAACTGCAGTTAAGTACTTTTCCTACAGTCAGTTAATATTTTTTCTCACATTTTTTTCTTCCCTTTGCCTCTCTACCCCCACTCTGGGGTTCACAGGCACAGCACTAGTTGTCCAGTGGGACCATGTACATCTGCAGGATAATTACAACCTGGGCAGTTTCACTTTTCAGGCCACCCTTCTCAATGATGGGCGTATCATTTTCGGCTACAAAGAAGTAAGTTGAGTCTGAAAATTGTCATTTAAGTAGACAAATTACTTCATACCTGCCAGGAATTTCCCTACATTGTGGGGAGGGGGGAGGGGGAATGCCTGAAAGTTCAGCTATGTAAGATCATTTCATTATATTGCTTATAAGATCACTATTTTGCTGAAAATTATATTTTATTGTAAAAGCAATGTTCGTGTGATGGACTGGAAAACCATCAACATGGCTCAGCTGTGCTACTCTTGGATTTCATAGAATCATAGAACCATAGAATGCTTTGGGTTGGAAGGGACCTTTAGAGGTCATCTAGCCCAACCCCCCTGCAGTGAGCAGGGACAGCTTTAACCAGATCAGGTTGCTCAGAGCCCCGTCCAACCTGACCTTGAACGTTGCCAGGGATGGGGCCTCCACTACGTCTCTGGGCAACCTGTTCCAGTGCTTCACCACCCTCACTGTAAAAAATTACTTTCTTATGTCTAGTCTAAGTCTATTCTTCTTTAGTTTAAATCCATTATTCCTTGTCCTGTCACAACAGGCCTTGCTAAAAAGATTGCCCCCATCCTTCCTGTAGGCCCCCTTTAAGTACTGAAAGGCCGCAATGAGGTCTCCTCGCAGCCTTCTGTTCTCCAGGCTGAACAATCCCAACTCTCTCAGCCTGGCCTCGTAGGAGAGGTGCTCCAGCCCTTGCATCATTTTGGTGGCCCTCTTCTGGACCCACTCCAACAGGTCCATGTCCTTCTTGTGCTGAGGGCACCAGAGCTGGACGCAGTACTCCAGGTGAGGTTTCACCAGAGCAGAGTAGAGGGGCAGAATCACCTCCCTCAACCTGTTGGCCACGCTTCTTTTGACGCAGCCCAGGGCTTGGTTGGCTTTCTGGGCTGCAAGTGCACATTGCCGGCTCATGTCCAGCTTTTCATCCACCAGTACCCCCTAGTCCTTCTTGGCAGGGCTGCTCTCAATCTTTTCAACCCCCAGCCTGTATTGATTATCCAATCCATCCTATCTCCAATTTAGAGAGAAGGATGTTGCGGGGGACCGTGTCAAAGACTTTACAGAAGTCTAAATAGATGACATCCATTGCTTTTCCCTTGTCTACAGATGCAGTTACTCCTTCATAGAAAGCCACTAGGTTAGTCAGGCAGGACTTGCCCTTGATGAATCCATGCTGGCTGTTTCAACTGGCCTTTTTTGGGTGGTTGTGAGCATTGAGTGTTTAGCAAGTTCTTGATTGTTTAGTAAATTTCTCTTGGGTTTTGAAAGGTAGGGTCTAATTGCTCAATTAGTTCACCTAATTTGGGCCTGTGAAAATACTCTGGAATCAATCATTAGTATTAAAAGGTCACCTTTTTCCTGCCGCTATAATTTCTTGGCAACTGACATATTTCAAAGTTCATATATTTCAAATAAGAAATAACTGTTTTGAATCTCTAGCTCTGGGAAGTTTTCCATCTCTTTGGTGATAACACTGGTTAGATTGAGGCCATTTGGTTGTGCCTTCGTAGCACCAATATGTCATTGTGTTGGTTGGACTCTTCTGCATCCTCCAAGTGTTTCAGAATTTCAATCATTACTTTAGATTTTTTTTTTTCTTGCTATTGTTGCTAGAGTCCTGGAGGAAATAGCTTAGAGGCTATACCTCCAGCTGAATTTCATGCAAATGAGAATCAGAAGGTAGATAATCTCCAGTTTCTAGGGGAAAAGAACAATTTCTTTCTCTTTTTGGTTATTTTAATCTCAGTTTGGCATGCAAAGTGTGACTTTGTCTTCAAGATGTACATCTTTCTGTTATCCTCCTTATATTAAAAAAATGTAATCAGTGATATGACTGATTGTCCAGACTTGGAGAAGTCTGGATTCTCCTTCTCTCTCTGCTACAGACCAGTTGTGAGCCTTCAGGCTCATTTTTCATGCCAGCGTTGAAGCCATGCACCTGAACGAAGCAGAAATAATAGTACTCTTCTCCCCTTCATTAGAAAGCTAGTGAGGATCTGGGTTATTCTAATAGCAGCAGTCATATCTTCACCTAAGATAGATGTCTTTGCACCTTGCAAACAGGATTGCTGTAGGATACTCTTACTGCATTACTTTTGTAGATACTAGAAACTTCTGGTATGCCCACATACCTGGCTTTCCTTATCTTATAAAAGACATGCTGATGCAAGGTCTGCTTTGGCTCTGTTTCTGAATGTTATGTATGGGTTAATAGTCTTAATCTATGAAAATGCAGTTTATTTGCATTTTGACTCCAGCTTCATGAAAGCTTTGGTCTGCTTAGCACAATGGAGCCTGTGCTTGATCAAAGGAGTGGCACTAAAGCTTTGTTTATGTCCTGTTGTTGAAACCTTTTTAAAGAGAAAACAGTCTTTTTAAAGACCGCAGAAAAGTTCCTGCCTTCAAGAGCCAGAGAAGTGGGGAGGGACAGTACTTCAATTTGCAATTTTAAGCTAAATTTGGCAAGAACTATATATGCATTCTGACATTAAAATGGTGACATTTTCAGGAGACTACTGTTCTTGGTTATGAGATGCTGTGCCCTGTCTGTTACTGTCCAGCCCTGTGCAAAATGAGTCTAATATGGGTAACAGAAGCTGTTGGCCTAAGTTGATAGCGTCTTGCATTCGTTTTGCATAAATGTAAATGATGATGCAGAGTGCCAGGCAGTGGAGAAATTTATTCATTTAGGAAGACAGGAGGAAGTGGGCCACCTCATTAATCACATGTGGTTCCCTAGAATGGCATGCAACTACGTCTTTAACCTGTAGATAAACAAGTGCTATGCTACAATGGCTTAGGCTGCTTGCTCTCACTGCGCCGCTGGAAGCTTCCTCCAGAACCACAGTGCTTTTGTGGGGAGGAGTTCTTAACGTTCTTTTCATTAATCCTGAGACAGAAAGAATTGGAATTTACAAATGGGATAATTTGCATTTTTTTCACTGCTGAATCTTTGAAATCCCCTGTCATGAGTCATTCTTGTCCTGAACTGAATTACCAAATACCACTTTAGAACTATTGCACATACTTAAGGAAAGAGACTTTTTAAAGTGGTAATAGTAACATACTAGTGGTCTGTAAATCTTTTGACAAAAGATTTTTGCAAAATCTTAGAATGTTACAACTAGTGTATTCCATTGGTAATTGCTTGGGGAATGGATTTGAAGGATGAGATTTCCAGAAGACTACACTCTTTATTTGCAGCCTGTCTTACTCCATTAAAACTACCTCAGCTTTTCACCTAAATGACAAAAATTGAATAAAATTTCCAATCACTGATCAGACACAAGTTGTCTGAGAGGAAAAACAGAGACACGTGTAAATTTAAACTTGACTCTAGTGCTTGTAAGTCTGGCTAGGAATTTATTTACTTTCCAGTGCTGAATCCATTGATTTCTGAGGAAGTCCTTCCTTCTGGAACCATTTATCTTGCTGGTGAGTCATGTTGTCAGGAGCCCCATTAACTCCAGTAAGATTACTTGTGTGAGTGCTCACTAGCATGAGTAAAAGTTGCACAAGAAGATTTCTACCATCTTTTTGGTGCCATTTAATTTTTTTTTTTCAGTTCATAAAAAATGACAGTGAAGTATGGCAAATCTGTGAGGTCTTCATTGCATTGTCATTGAAAGTCTCCAGGCTGTAGCACCACATAAGAAATGCAGCAGACGGGTTGCAAGTAACTTTATAAAGCACTCCACAGGGGCTCTGTCTTAGGGACACCAGCAGTTTATCTTGAAGAATCCACTTTTAAAATAACTTTGATTATACATTTAAGGGAACTACAAATAGGGAATTTTATGTCTAAAACAATTCAGGTAAATTTTACCTTTTATTTCCTATTTACGCAAACCATTTGGGATTCCCTTTTTCATATCCTTCCTGCTCCCACATCAGGTTCACTACCTCATAAACCTGGTGTTGACCGCCAAGGCAGCATTGTGGCTGGGGTTTGCTGAGTATCAGAGGATCTGTTCTGCCCAGTCTTCTGTGTTCTGTTATTTGCACAATAGGAAGCGTTCTGAAATGCACAATTGTTATCCAAAATCCAGAATAGATTCTGAAAAAATAAAAATTTAGAAAAGGAGCTGAGCCACCAGGATGGTGAAATATGGAGACATCAGAATATCTTTCAGAAGAGTTAATGAGTAGGAAAAGAGCTGTACAGTCAGGTTTTCAAAATGTAAAAACAATTTGAAATATAGCAAGGTCCTATAGCAAGTGAAATACTTATGCCTTTACCAATTTAGTTTGTTTACAATTCATACACCTTCCATTTTAAATAATCACTTTGCTTACACTAACTGTTAGTGTACTGGCAAATGGTCAATATGTCAGGAAACTTCAGCTGGCAGGAAAATTTTACTGATGTGCCTCTACTACGTATGAAATACGTTACAGTGCAAACTAGCCAAAAGAACATAGTAATAAAGAAAATTTTCTGCAAAGGCATACTTTTCTATGTATTAGTAGTGAATAGTCTTTTCTTATATTCTAAATTTCACAGAACTTCAATTCTCAAGAGCTTTACTTCTTTTTGAACAAAGTAACTTCTCTGCATAGTCTTTTCCCATTAGCGCTTATAGCTAATGTTCCTTAGTGTAACATTTGGTTTCTTTTTCTGTCCATGATTAATACAGGACAAATGAGGCAAAGGTACCAAAGGCTTTGTTAATGGTTTAGGATGGTTTTCTTAATTTCATTGGCTTGAAGGCTTTCTTTGTTCATTTAAATAGTAATGACTATTTATGTACTCATCCAGGAACCATTATTAAAGTTGAAATGCTTATTCAAATTGCCCAATATCTGAAGTTGGAAAACAATTCTAAAAGAGACTTGTAGTAGAATTTCTTTCTACTGTGAAAGCAGGCAGAATTGAATGGAACTGATTAAGTACTAGCAGGTAGATAAAATTGATGCTCCTGCTATGCATGATGGAAAATATTCTGTCTTCAGTAACAAGACTCCAAACCTTGTGATTGTTTCCTGAAAAGTAAAAAAAAAAAAAAAAAACCACAGTATTAATGGATATTCTGCCTACATTATACATTCCTGGCACTTCTTTGCCTCTGTTGTTATTATTATCATAAATATTAACATGGAAACAAGATCTTTGATTTTATGAGGTGATCATTTTATGCAACTTAAAATTCCTCATTAAGTTTCATGCAGTTTGGCCTGTAATTAATAACTATTTAGGAAACTGGCATTGAAAACCCTATATATTGTGTTCCTAATTATTGTTTTGCAGCATACTCTGGCTCTTATCTTTGACTCAGTTTTCAAGTGGGGCAGTAATTGCACCCTGCTTACCATCTTCTTCAGAATAAGGTCAGAGGCCATTATTTTATTCGTCTTTGAAGAGTAAGATTCTGATGTGTTCTCAGAGTAAGTTGAAAAGATAAAATCTGAGAACCCTCTGATGGAAGATACTATCTAGATTACTGTTCCCGATGATTAATAGAATTCAGCGTGAATTCTGAGTATCTTTCTCCCTATTGCTGGAGTATATAATCCAAAATATAATTGTCAATGTCCCCAGCGTGAGTGTGCATTTGGAAGCTTATTCCTAAACTGGTGACTTGTACAATGCCAGACTTCATATTGTCTATGGTACAGCTAACATACATTTTGGAATTATTCTTGTTAAAATTCACCCTCTGAATGTAATGCCATAAAACCCCTGCCACCCATTAACAACCACTTGCACTTTCCTAGCTTACTGTTCCACTGTTTAACATGTCAGCCTGTCATGACATATCTTGTCATTGAGGTGAGGAATTCAGAACACTAGCTATCTGCTTGCTACCTATGTTTCACTGTAATTTTCAATAAATTATTTTATCATTTACTACAAACCTTCTATCAAAAGGGCATATTTCCTAATAGGCCATCGTATAGTAAAAGCCCATTTGATCTTGACATCTCATTTAAAAGACTTCAGCTATAAAATGGCACCCAGTACACTCATCACTCAGTTACTGAAGTATTCAGTTCTGTAAAATGACTAATTTTCCCACACTTTAAAAATAAGCATATATATTTGTAAATGCAGATTTAATAACATTGTAGTTTTTTCCAGAGAAGAAGAGAGTTTTCCTGGGCCATGGATTGCCTTTTATTTTGACTGCATTTCTGTCTGTATGTGTAATTGTTTGACACAGGCTATACCTCAGTTTGAAGAGCTGGCTATACTAAATTAATTTATGATTTCCTCACCTTATACAAACACTGCCCTGTTTCTAAAGCATATATCCAAAATTTCAGCTGCTTCTTAAAGCTGCCAGTCTGTTAGGCTGCACCATACTGCAACTTTCTTATTAGTTTGAGAAAATGATTCTGCAAGTTCTTCACTCTCACTAGAATTCCCAGCACAAGAGGGTGGACACCTGCAGGGATTTTTGCAAAATCTACTGAGATATTTCTGATCCAAATTTTTCTAATTTCTGCTGAAGTTTTTGTGTATATTTTCTGTTCAACTTGGCTACTGCATCCTATTTTAATACCAGATATCAATGAGTCACTAACAATTTTTTATTAAGTAGTGAAACTGAAAGTGACTTTCAAGCTCTGAACCAAGTTGTAATGAAAATAAATTTATAACAAAAAAAAAACCAAACAAACCAACAAACAACTTGTGGCATTTGTACTGCAAGAACCCATCCCTCTTTCCTGGGCAGGGGGAAGGGGGGAAGGAAGAGAGATAAATTAGTTTGCTGTTAGCACAGTTTTGGGGGGAAAGATGCAAATTGTTCAATTATTCACAAATTCAGAAAAAACATGTGATACGGCACTAGACTTAAAATTAAGGAGGCTTGTTCAAGGAGACTGAGTGCAACTTCTCCTGGTTTGCTCTCACATGTAAAAATGAGTATAATTATTTTCATGTATCAGACACAATTTCTGCCTTGAGCTACCAATTTTGCCAACATATTTTGTTGGTCACACACCTACTCATAATTCCAATTCCAACTACATTTTGTGTCCATAAAACTCTGATTTCTTTCTTCATCTGCTGTGTTTCCTCTCTAACTTGGAAGAGAAATAGTCATTGTGTCCTTCTCATCAGTGCTTTTTCTAACTTGATTTTCAACAGATTCTCTAGAGTATCCTCATCAAAATCTTTTAAGACAGTTTCTTTGATAGTTCATATAAGCTTTTCTCTACAGTATTCTGAGACTGTGAAAAATTCCCTTATTTTGTTTATACTTTCATGTGGGAGAAAGTTTATAGACTTATTTCTGAACTCAATGAGTCTTTGTTTTTGAAGACTTTGAAAAGACAGCTTTCAGCCTTCTTATGTCATATTCTCCAATAACTGCATCAGAGCTAAGGTGATATAAGCTAAATATAAATTGGTGTACTACTAGCAGTATTTCCAAGCCACTTCTGGTTTCCATGTTGGTTTAACATCATTCCTTTTGTTATACCAAAGCAAATCATGTATGCAAGAACCCCTAAATAAACCAGCCAAACCAGTCAATAAAAAGTAAAAGAAATGGAAATTTATGACACTGTTTAATTCACCAGAACTCACTTTTGCTGTTAATACTCTCAAATTTAACTTTTCCTAGACAGATACCAGTGTAATCAGGAAAAAGCACAGCTAAATGATGTTTTGGGAACAAGGAGAAGAACAACTACTGATGCTCAACTCACATACCAGAAGTCATACCATTAATTGACATGTAGACGACACTGAATCCTCATTCACTGGATGTGTAACCAGCTTTTTACTTTGGCATTTTTCTGCTGTGTGGAAAATACTGGCCAACAGTATAATTTTGGTAGTTTTACACAGGTAAAGCCAGAGCAGACTATTAGATTAGCTGAGCTAGCACCTTGTATCTCAGTTTCTTACACTTTCATCTGTCTTCAGCCCAGTAATTTCAGGCTAACTGAAGGCCAACTTTGAAAAATAAGATACCCGACTGTGATCTGAAAGCAGCAATGGGTAGAGAATCATAATTTCCCTTGGTAGTTTATCCCAGTGGTTAATAACATTCAATCATAGAAACGTGCCTTATTCTACTCTGAAGGTATCTGTCTGCAGCTTCCAGCTTCTGTTTATATCTTTCTGTGCTAGATGAAAAAACTCTTTAGCCCCTGAATAATTTCTCCCCATGGCAGTACTTGTTTATGGTAATCCAGCCAGCTTTCCATTTTCCCTTTGAGAAGCCAAATAGATAGAGCTCTTTAACTCTTCTGTTAATGGCATTTGAGAACTGCAAAAGTTTTCAAAATATTTTTATTACTCTCTTAATCTTCCTGCTCTTAAGTTTTCAGCATCTTTTAAAGAAACAGATCCTCCTAAAGTTTGAATACTAACATTTCAGTAATAATCTAATGTGCAGGTACAAGTAAAATGGCCACCCCACTCCTATATTCCACTGTTTACATAACCAAAAATCACATAAATTAGTTTTTCTTCCTGCAATATCCCTTCTGACAGCTAGAGTTGTTCATCCACTACAATACTGAGATTCCTTCCAGAACTGCTGCTTTCTAGAAGGTGGTTCTCAAACCTCTACCTTGCAGTCTTTGTTCTCTGAGTTATAACTTTGTGATTTTTGCAAGATCTAACTTTGCTCATTGATCACGGCATTTCATTATTTTTACTCTGCTAATGTTAGCAGTAAATTTATGTTTCCTTCCCAGTCTTTGATAAAACTTCTGAATACTAGGTCTGATGCCTGGAGAAGGAAGATACACTGTAAAGACACACTGTCAGTCTGAGCTGCTTCTTTGGTCATGGCTGCTGTTTGTGATCAGTCAATCTAGTTAACTATATTAATATTGTAAGTCAAACACCTTACAAAATTCTAAAGCTATTACATCTATACAAGTATCAGCTATTGCCTCAGTCTTGCCCAAAGAATGAAATCAAGCTTGACACCTGTTTTCATACAACCATGTTGCCCAGCATCGATATCTCTGTTATGTAAAGCTGGACAGGTCTTTGGCTATCTAAGTCTTTTTATTCTCCCTCTAGGTATTGACAAGTGAGCATCTGGCATTCTCCACATTTTCCATGCCATTGATAATTTTCCTGCTATTCCAAGACATATTAAACATAAATATCATTGGGCCAGAGCTCTTTTCAGATAGCTCTTCAAACAGTTTTCAGTGCAAGTTAACAGAGCCATAAGCTTTTAAAATGTTCATCCCAAAGTGAACTTTCACAATTTGTGTGTTCAATAGTAGATGAGGTATTGCCTCCTCCTCCTTGTCTGATACTAGCACATCATCCCACTTCATCTTCAACTGGGGGAAATAAATTACTGAAAATTACTGCCCTTTTCTGTGTCATCATTAACAATTGTTCCACCTCTAAGTATTGATGTAAATATTGTTATAGAAGAAGCAAAGCAAACTGGCATAAAATAAAAATTAAAACCAGTAATTTCAATCTTCAATAAATCCTTAGTCATATTATGCTGTATTGTACAAAATATTTATTTAGGACTTTTAATTTACACTGGTTAAATATTCATTATGGCAGTGGTGTTATTTTTAGTCTGAACTTTTTACTTCAGTATTTCATGCATATCTTCCTGTTTTGTCTTCCAGATTCCTGTTGCGGTGACACAGATAAGTTCGACCAACCACCCAGTGAAAGTGGGACTCTCAGATGCATTTGTGGTTGTGCATAGGATCCAGCAAATTCCCAGTATGTAGTATTGTAGTGGGGCTAATGGTTTGGAGGCTGAGAAACAAGTATAAACTGATTTCATCAAGGATGATTAGCTGTACAACAAATCATTTAGCTAATTTCAGCTTGTTAATTCAAGTGTAATTTTATTTGCTTGATAATTCCCAATGTGGCTTTCTCTGTCATTGTTTCTTTTGAGCTGATAAATTAAGTAAATAAAATGAAATGGCCAGCCAAATAATGTAAAATTAAACTGTCAACCAACACAATTTGGTATTCCATAAGATACTTTATCTGGAATATGTCTCCCTGTCCATAGTAGGGAAGAAGCAATCTGTTCAGAAAAATCATCTGTATCCAAAAAGAAAAATATATCCAGACTGGAGGTTCTTGATACTTTACATTCTGAACTTCAAAGTCATGTATACATTTTAGTGAGAGAAGAGGAGAGGTAGGTATTAAGTAACATCTTGGGCCCACATAGTCATGACAACAGTAATGCAGGTGACATTTAATTTTCTCTGGCATTAATTATACTTTGTGTGGCTTGACTGAAAACGAATAGTAGGAAATCAAGTGTGATTTCCTTGATGCCTTGTTTTAACATACTGTGTACAGAACCCTTTAAGGTTGTTTAGCCATTAGAGAGTATGCTGGCTTTCCAAGTGTGCTGGTCTTATTTACAGATTTGGAGCAAATTTACTAAGTTCCATTTTTGGTGATCCTCTAATAGCAGGGTATAGATGGAAGGAGCTGCCCTTGAAGCAGCCTCCTAGGACTGAGTCCAGGTATATTCTCCTAAAGAGAACCCTGACGGAGGTGTGGCGCAGATAAAGCTCATAAGAAGTGACCTGGTCCAGCCTGTCTTTAAGGCAGTCTGTAGATGGGGCTGACAACTGAAGTTGCCGGTACCATTGCCTCTCAGCACATCCTATTCCCTCATCACATTTAAACAGTCTTTGATATGAGGGAGCATAAATCCTACATCTTATATGTTCTGCCATGGGGAAGATGGAAAATTTCAGTACCATCTGTTGCTTGTTGTGAACTCAGAGTAGTGTGAAGGAGGTTGGCATGCCCAGATTTCCTTAAGAGAACAGGTCTTGGAAGAAATTTGTTTCTGAAGTATGATAGATAGTTGTGATGTGCTTACAGTCACATGGATTGCTTTTGAGTGCTTAGGAACAAATGATCCTAGGCAAGCGATTTTAGCAATTTCAGTGATGTTTGTAAGAGAATGACCTGAATATTTCTGTGAGTCTTTAGCTTGTAAGAGCTCCTAAAATGGATTCAGGTGGAAATTAGGTTGATTAACTTGTGCAAATGGTTTATGAGAATAGTCACACAGAAATTCAATGTAAGAGATGCAAGTAGTATGCAGGCCTTTTGGCATCAGGCCTCCATCATCAAACAACACTAAAGGACTTACTTTAAATTTACATATGTTGTATGTAAAATATATGGTATATGGTAGCCTTTATTCTAGTTTGAATGCTTCTTTCTGTAGAAACATTTCAGACATGCACCTTGGTTTAGTACCACTAACTACATAATGTTGGGTTTGATGAATACAGTTACTTACTAGTCCTCTAGTTTTAGTATTTCTGTAAATCTTTTTGTCACATGACACTTTCTGCTAAGAGATGTGACTATAATTACCAGAAAATCTGTATAGTGTTTCATCTTAAACTTACTCTGTTCATTAAGTTACATTAAGGAATGGCAGATAAGAAGAATAGAATGTGGGTGAGGACCCTAAACCGTGCCACTGCAGCAACAGTTTTGATAGCATTAGTTCTGTATTACTGTGTATAATGCATGGCTTTTCTCCTTAATGACTGGCTCTGTGGATGGTGATAATTCATTATTATTTTTGCTAGTCTGCAGCTTACACTAGAGCTAATATTAATCAAGGGAACCGTCAGTTCACAGTAGATTTTCCTGAAGCCAAATTGTTCTTTCAATGAAACAGGTTTATATTACTATATACAGGCAACATAACAGCACCCTGACAGAACTGGTAAATAATGTTGGCCCATAGAGAGCCAGTGTCAGATGCTTTTAAAATATGCATGTTCTTGTGTTCTTGTTTTTCAGAAGTGTTAAATCAACCATGGCTCTAGTCAATTACTGAAAAAGTGACATGACAGAACTGATGTTTTACTTTATTTGTTAGCTCCTTAAGACAACGGAAGAATATAAATTCATGTTTGTTTGTCACAAAAGAATGCAAATATAGTATAGTTATTAGTTCTTGCTTAACACTTTAGCAAAGACTTTTCCATCAGGAGATCCCAGTTTCCCTTTATGTTCATGGCTAGTTTAAAAAAAAAAAAAATCAAACAAAAAAACCCCAACTCTACTGCTTCATGTTTGAGTTTTGTCAATATTTTGTCATATATTTTTGTATACATCTTGCATTTGAAAAGGAAAAAACCATTAAGTGCAACACAAGCCTATTTGAACAAAAATATCATCTCAATTTTCAAAAATGCTGAATGTCTTTGGTGCACTCTCTATGCTCAGTGTTCTAAAATTTCAGTATAATAGTCCTAGTTTTACTGAAGTAATTTTGGAAGATTTACTACTAACCATTTATCAGATTTTTTCAGACATACTGTCCAAAACATTAGTAATAACTTTTTTAATACTTCTGAAAGGTGAGTTCTAAAGCCAGACAAACCTATTTCATTTTGAGGAGAGAAAAACATGCTTTTTGATCAGCCATTTCATTTCAAAAGTGCCTTTTAATGAGTGCTGAAAAGGATCTTCTTGAAGAGCCAAGAGCAAAAAGAAAGGATTTTCTGAACTTTTTGAAATGGAGGACCTTGAGCATTTCATACCTATTTTTATTAATATACTCCTACATATAAAGGCTTTGCAGTAATACCCCTTTTATCCGTCCCTAAAAGAATACAGGTACCTACATTTTTTCACCTTGTCTTTGAATAGTTAGAGCACAGAGATGGGAGACTTTTGGCAGGTGGTTTTCTGCCTGTTATATGTTTGATTTTTTTTCTTGATCTGCCGCTAATGGTTATATATAGACAATGTCTTTATTTTCGAGTCTATATATGGTACTATTATATTGATGCAGATTGGCCACTATATTTTTATGTATAGATACATATGCCTGTATATTTTCTAGATGTGCTTTGGAATGAAAAGTAATGTGTGAAGGGAAGCAAATTTTTGCTTGACACCAAGGTTAACAAGAAAAGCCCTAAATTCTGAGATTCATATGGCAGCAAAATGGCAAATTAAGTCTATCGATTAATTTCAGAGGAAAAGTTTCTGCTTCTTGCAGGTAATTCAAGTGAAGTGAGCCAGGCTCTGGACCTCTGCTTCTGATTTGTCTATTAAGTTAGAGGGACCACCCTGATTTCTTCCTCTTCAGACAGGCTGAACACTAGTACATTAACTATTTTTCCTTTTGTAACAAAGACACTAAGAATGTTTAATGGATGTCTCTCAGTTAGACAACACATGATTGGTGAAGACAAAGCTGGGGGATAGAATCATAGAATGCTTTGGGTTGGAAGGGACCTTTAGAGGTCATCTAGCCCAATCCCCCCCCAGTGAGCAGGGACATCTTCAACCAGATCAGGTTGCTCAGAGCCCCGTCCAACCTGACCTTGAACCTGGCCTCCACTCCAGCAAGTCTCCCTTTTCTTCAGCATCTTCACTGTTAAAAGGTGAGCAAGTCTTGCTGATCACTCCCTGGCTCTCCAGTCAACAAATCAGTTTATGGATGGGAATCAGGGAGCCTTGTCACTGTCCCATTGCAACCACCTTCTCTTCCCTGTTCCCTCTTATTTCATGTTTTTTTCTCAGCCATCCTTGGGATTCTGTTCTTGGTCCTTCTTTCAGTCACCTACGGTGTCCTTTGCTCTCCCTTCTGCACATTCCCAAGACCTCTCTCTAATTTCATGACCATCTTTCTTCCCTTATGTCTTTCCTTGCCTTCAGGTTTACTACACTTCTCCCCTTTGTTTCCTTCCCTTTTGTCTTTCAATTAGGTTTTTATTGCGGACGAAGAAGAAATGAGAAAGCATTTCCTGCAACCCACTATTTTATTTTAGCAATGAAAAAGCCCACCAGTGAGCTTGCCCAGATTGCACTTTGTTTTCCACGAGAGCATGAAATACACTGGTAAAATGAGAGAATACCAGATTCAGGGGTTCTACACAGTGAGTTACTAGTCTTGCACTAGTCTTGCACTTACAGATAATGGCCAGGGTTTTCTCCATGATGAGACATACCTCTCCATGATTCTGGCCTTTACTGTGTCAGGTACAGCTCTTTTAGGAAATCCACACCTTGACAACATAACATTTAATGACACTGAAATTACTCAACAACACTGTGTACACAAATGAAGTTGTAGCTGAGCTATATGTTAGTAATATTCCAGTTTCAGTGCAATTAGTGCCACTCCATATGTAGTGTACCTCAAGCATATGATTAAGTGACAACTGCATGTTATAACTTTTTGCTGAAGATGTCTCTCCAGTTTGTTTACAGTGGTGAGGCCCCTGAAAGAACCTTAGCGTTACCTTCCTGAAGGGTAAAAGATGACTATCAGTTTATGTTGTGATATTTATTGTGTAAAGGTGCAGCACAATCTGGGAAATTGCAAAGTCTAATCTGCTGTTGCCTTGCTGGTAATGTTGTCATTTACCTCTGTGCAAAGTGGGCCCCAAAGTTATCACTCAAAATTCACAGTATTTATTCTTGCTTTCCATCAGTGTAACTAATTCCACAGAGTGCCAGCTCCTCCAGCCCTGTGTGTTTGTCTGCTGGCCCAAAAGGGATTAGCCAGGCAGCCCAAAAGGGATTAGCCAGGCAGCTGGGTTCCTTGGCACTATCTGATTCAGGAGCAGTGAGGGAAGGAGATGGGCACGCTGCCAGTCTTTGGTGGCATAACAGCACTTCAGGGACTGGTATGAGGTGATCAAAGTTTAAACTGTTCTTGTTTTAGCCAAAGCCTTAACTGGCCATCAACCAATCTCAGAATTAGGCAGCTCGGTGCATGGTAGTTTAAGGGGATAGAGCATGTTTTTCACACCTAGATTCCTGTACTAAGAGCAGCTCAGCTGGCATCAGGAGTTGGGGTAAACCTGAAAGGACATGGAGAGTTTCAAAGTAAATGATGTGTGGTAGGCACAGAGCATTGGTACAGAACAGTTTTTTCCACACTGTTCATAAAGCAGATATTTTCAGAACCTACTTCACTGGCTTGCTTATTCACAGATTATACATCTTTGAGGTACAGCTTCCAGGTTTTAAAGGGTTTTTTAGCAACTTTTGGGGGAATGATAAAATTAATACAATTAGGGACTCTGAGTTTTGATCTAGATTCAGGCATGTGTGTAATAGGCCATGACCAAGAGCAATTGTGGTGGTGGTTTGATTACAGGCATATTTGATCCCCAGTGTCAGTGTCTCAAGAATTGACTAGTTAATATTGATAAGTTTAGCAATATGAAGCTGTTAAAGAACCAAGATTGCTTTGACATTCTGATTTCCTTACCTTTTGTGGTGATGGCGATCAGACGTACCAGGTTGGCAAAATATATATTTGAGTGAAGATTTTATTCAGCCAGTGGTGCTAAACAAAGTCCCTATCAAGCAAAACCAGTAGCTGTATAGTACAGCAGCTGTGCCCCACCCTTCTGTATCCCTTACATTTTTCACAAATTGCTTGCAGTGTAAGCTGGATATGTTTCATAAATTGTTTGTTTCAAATTGACTTCTGCATAATCAAATGCACTCTTTTACCATTTGTGTTTTCTCTATCAGCTAGTCTTAAAAATGAAAGTGCAGCTGTATGAATACATATGGCCTTGTTTAGCAGTTTTTGCTGGGTATATGGCTGATGTCAATTCCCTAGAAATCTTTCACTGACAAAGATTTTTATTTGTGTGAACATATAATTTAAAAAATCAGACTGACTTCTTCAATATTTTCACATTTCACTGGGTTGTAGGTTTTAGCTAAGTAATGTTGTATGAGTATGATGGAAAAGTACCAGAGAGATTATGAATGTTTTTTTATTTAGAATGGTTTATTACTAGCTACTGACCCTTCAGGTGTCTTAGGAAGTCATTGGTGCTCTTCTGGCACCACTCCATCTCCAGAGCACTCTCCCTATTTAGTATATTTAGTTAACTCTGGAAATCCTGTTTCATAGAATATTTATATGCCACTATTTAGTTTAAAACTACTGTGATAAAACTACATAGAAATGTTTTGTTGCACCAGAGTGTTGCACATCTATAATTTACTAATCCACTGCTAAATCCCTTGAAAGGATTCTTTCAATTGGCCTTCTGACCTGCAACGTTATCTCTCTAGGTCACCGAGGAATGTACTTACCTCAAGTAAGTACTGGTGTTTTCTTGAGCTTTTTCTGCTGGGACTGTACTTTTTGACTTGTATTCAAAGATAGCACATGTACATGCCACAGAAACAAACCAAAGAACAATTTGGATCATACTGTAAATTAAACTAAATGTAAAAAAATAGAAACTCTCACTGAAAAAAAAAATTATATCATTCAGTTAAAAAGGGTGTTTGAGCTACTCAAACCTACAGAAAAGTAAAATATTTTCACAACTAGGAGAAGAATATATACATATTTTCTGAAATTCAGAACGAGAAATGGTACTTCAAAAGTATATATGTATACAAAAAGTCCTTTTCCTTTTCTCCCTTCTCTGTAATACCTCTTTTCAGTAAAATACCTGCACATGATGCTTAAATTTTTGTCCGTTACTATATCAAATGATTTCACTAGTTCTTGTCAAGTTAAGGTGCATACTGAAGTACGTGGGCTCATAAGCTCTTTGTGATTCTGCACTTGTACTTGTTTGTAAAAGAGCTAAATAGACAGCATAAGTCAAAGAAGAACAAGTTCCACCTGAGTGAAAGGCAGTGTGTGTGTCTTGGGTTGGAGCAGGAGTGTGTGTGGAGAGGTTGAGGGGGAAAGTGTCAGGGGAGAGTATTCATTTTTCTGTTTATCCTGTTGAGTTTAGCTTTTCTAGCCTGTTTTGTTAAGGTGATACAGGCTCAGAATTCTAAATAGGGAGGAAAAAGTGCATTTTGAGGAGCTAAGCATGGCATGTTTCAAGTCAGACTTTCAAAAGAATCTATACCTGCATTTTTTACAACCTGGCCATGCAGATAAATTTGAACGCTCATGTTTCCAGCCACCTGCCTGCAAGTATATACAAAGCTGTTAGAAGGTGACTATGCAAATACTTCTGTGTGCTTAGGTTACTTACAGTAGATAGATCCCTCATATGCACACTCACTACCTGTGGTTGGCACTGTCTTCTTCCTGAAGAAGAAAAGATCAAACCTGAGTCTACCGGAAAGTGGGATTTAATCGGATCAACAGTCATACTGAACTATGCGTGATTAGAAATTATTTTTTTGAACAAACTTAATTCTCTTAAAATCAGTATTTTTTAGAAATTTCATGCACTGGGAGAGATACAAGTGCCTGTGACGTGAGTCACTGGTTCTTACTGGCTTTTTGGAAAGCCAAAAGCTCCTTATTTCTTGTAAGCCCTGTGAAGAGTCTGTTAGGAAAGGTTCAGAGTAAACAGGATTATAGCATGCCAGTCTGTACCACTACTGATGAGATAAAATGGAGTTCAATTAAAGTGCAGCATCCACCATATTACTATACTATATGTATCCATTTGCTTTTTTTTTTTTTTTTTGACAGAAGGATAAAGATTTCTATGGAAAAAAATTACAGCCTTCAGCATTGATGGGAGTTCATTTCAAACACATTTCCTGATCACTTTGATTTGGCAGGTGCTTTTATGGGACTTACCATCCTGGGAGCATAAACCTCTCACTGCTGGCAAGAGATTTTCCCCATGCCAGCACAAGATTAGCTTTGTCTCGAAATCCCTTTCCATCCAGAGGGTTTGAAGTACATGGTTAAGGCATTTATTGGGATAAACATTTGGCACATCCCCATATCTGTCTTTTAACTAGTCAGAATGAGTTTGCAGGTAAAACATAAAACTAGCTCAATTATAGGTGCATTTCATACCAGAAGAGAATTCTGCTATCAGGAGCGGTGAAGCCATAACAAAGTTACCTTCAAATAAATGGCAGCAAGAGGAACTGTTTGGCAAAGGTGTTGATTTGGAGCTAAATAGAAATATTATTGTCTGAAAGCCAGACACTGCCTACCTGTGCCTGGGAGCTTATGCAGTGAGAGAGGGCAGAGAAGCTGCTTCACCTGCAGTGACCCTGGCTGATGCAGGAGAGAATTATCCCACCCAGCACAGCTCTGCTTCTGCCTCCCCATCCCTCCTCAGAGATTCCCCTGTTTATTCCAGCTGACACCAATAGCTTGATGGTTGTTTTCTGTGTGGTATAAGGGGGTTCACACACTTGCGCTTTTAGAGGTTGACCATCCCTCTTTTCTTAGAAAGCCTCATCGGCTTGAACCAAGAGGCACCTTAGCCACAGGACACCTTAGTGCACTTTCTCTCTTCCCTTAAAAATTAGTATTTATTGCTTGATTGATTTTAGTTGAGGTTCCATTTTCTGTCTGAAAAATGCCTACAACATCCCTCCTAACTAGAGACTGTGAAAAACACTTCAGATTTGGTGCTGTGTGATTGGGGATCCCATGTGAGCCCACTTCAAACTGCAGAAATGCAGCCTTTATACCAAGGAACAAGGTGTGCCCTAATCCACGTAGGGCTGGCAACACAGAAGACCACCTAAGTTTGAGTTCGTGGCTGTCTGCAATTCCTTTTCTTCTGTTGCATGTAGACTCAGACCAGCCATTGACCAGAGTAACCTGTTAATCCTTTGTATGTAACCCTTTATCCCTCTCTGGCATCATTCCACAGGATCAGTGATTGTATTTAGCATTGACTTCAATTAGTTTAGCAGACCTTCAAAAAGGGCAGAAATTTGAGTCCAGCGCACCAGGAAATCATTATTGTGTCAGATTGGTGGTATAGGCTGTACTTTTAATTTGCAAATGTACAAGTTCGCCAGTCTGCGTTGCAGCTGTGCACTTAAAATCTGGAATATTCAGAATACATAATAGGATATTGATCTGGAAACTAACAATTATGTGATTTTTTTTCACATTTATCTTGTGCTTGGGTCTTACAGTAGTCTGTGTGTTCAAAGCCCATGAGAACAGTGCATGACTATTGAATTTCTGCTTTGAGAAACTTAGGTGCAGCCAGATTATGCATGGCATTGGCTGTTTAGGAAGACTTCTCTTCTTCAATATAACATTATAATATGAAAAAATGTTCTAGTGCATTTACATGTGAGCTAACTTGTAGCTAAAAAATTTGATTAAGCAATGAAATCAGTTTTGTCTGCACATCTTGACAAGAACAGACGAAGTGAGCATATAAAGCATTTCTCTCAAGTCTGTAAGCTAAGAAATGTCTTAGGAAAGCAAGCATCTGAAATATACCCTAAAATGTGTGACAGTATACTCTCTAGAATTTCTGCCTAAATGAATGACTGAGATGCTTGAGAACACATTCAGCATTTTCATAATCCTTTACCAGGAATAGGTACCTATTCTGTCAACTCTGATGGTTTCTCAAGAGAAAAATTCTCTGTCTATACCTTTTACATGTTCCTTCATGGTGTCTAAAGTTAAAAATATATTCTTGAGGAAAATTGGTGTCATATGTGCACCTAAGGAACAGTGAGCAATCATTACATCCACTATTTTTCACAATATACAGACTGCAAAATAGTGAAGTGTGAAAATATTATTTTTCTTTCCTGGTAGATGTCCGTAGAAGAACAATTTATGAGTACCACAGGGTGGAGCTACAGATGTCAAAGATTACCAATCTCTCAGCTGTTGAAATGATACCTCTTCCAAGTAAGTAAAACATAACATGGGCAGGAGCTAGACCTAGGAAGAACCCCCTCCTTTCCTCTCCCAGCAACTCATATACAATTTAAAATATTCTGTTTCATCTGTGAACTTAGAATCATGGACAGATTCATTTACCCTCTCTCAGATTTATTCCCAGATGGATGATGCATTATCCAGTGTATCCTCATGTGTCTCAAGTTAGTTTATAGCTATACGGCCCCCAGTAGGTTTTGAATGAAATCTGTGCCAAATAATTTTTTCAGAAGAATTATTATATTTCCTTTAAATTTGTTTCCTCAAGAAAAAAAGAACAGTTTTCATGCTTGCAAAGGAAACACAAATTCTTCTCTATACTGTGCATCACATTGCAAAGGAGAATCCCCAAACACATTTTGCAGTTCGTCTGCCTCTTTTGTCCAGGGTAAAACTACATTGTTTAGAAATCTCTGGGTTTAAACTGCTAGCTGCACTACTGTGAAAAAAACAGCTATTTTTCTTTTTTCTAATCCAATTATAGTTCGTGCACACTTTCCTGTCAGTCTTGTTGGCTTATGTCTGAATGTTAGCAACACCAAGGAACACTGGAGCCAGGCAAGAAAGAGATTTAAGGAAATACTTAATATTAAGCAGAAAGATAAAAATTTAGCAATGAAGGTGAATGAACAGTTGTGGAAGTGGGAATACATTTACAAATGGAATACAAATGGAATCCTACAGATAAAACATACCTCTGTGCATACGGTTGTGCAATGTATTGTAATAGGCTGGTTTTAGTGTCTTATTTTGGACATGTGTAAGCCTCTTGAGTCCCTAAGTATATATTATCAGAAGGTGTATCCTTCTTTTGTGCTTTTTATGAGAATTATTTTTGAGACTAATGTAATAACTTGAGTTTGTTTATCTACATCCCAGCTTGTCTCCAGTTTACCAGCTGTGGTCCCTGTGTCACTGCCCAGATTGGTTTCAACTGCAGCTGGTGCAGTAAACTCCAAAGGTAAGAAAAAGAATTTTTCTTTTTTCCATGGGTGTGCAGCTGTGTTCAAAGGATTTCCCAAAACATTGCCCATAGGTTGTTCAGCACAAAGGGTTGTTATATTTCTGTCTTATACACATGCATTCACACGAACATACACCTCAGCTGCAACCACTAGCCACACACCTTTGTCCCGTTTCACTTCAGCAAGAAATTAGGAAAGAATGGTCAAAACCATTGTTTTCAGACTTAAGCCTTTGTTCCTATTTCCTTAACCCTACTTTAAAATCCTTTTGAAGGAGAACAAGAAGTAGAAATCATAATAAAATTCGTATTTTCTCCCTATATCCCTGGCTTCATCAAAAATAATTCAACCACATGGAGATGTGGGGTGGTAATTAACTATGAAGACATACTTGTTCTCTTAACAGCAGGGAGACAGACACATCCAAAGACTCAGAGGCTTTTCTGGTTTAACCTTTCATTACATTTCGTGGGTGTGTTGGGTCTCCTCAGCCTCTCACTACCACATTGACGAGGACAGTCAAGTGAATAGCAAGAGCAGTTTAGACTCTGTGGAACAGCTGGAGCAGAGACAGCAAAATGGAAACTCTGCAGCTGTAGGTTATCTAAAAACTTCTTCAGTCACTGACCTTCATTGACCTTCATAGCAAGAATTTATTTAACACCAGTTCTCTCACACAAAACGCGGTATCATAATGGATATTTATTACTGTTGTGTTTTTCAACCCTAGTGATTAACTTCAGAAATGTTATGTATAAAATGGATGCATAATGAAAGGAGAAAATGCCATTAGCAGTCTAAAACAGTGTAACAATTTGATACCGTGCTGAAGAACTGATAAATAGCTGATGAACATGGTACAGAATTAGGAACTTCAGGTCACTTTTATTATGTTTTCTTAAGATGCTACTCTGTTAGTAAGTCATTTGAGAAGTCACTCTGTTGTCAGTTTGTCTTGCAAAAAACTCTTGAGTGGAATTAGAGCTACATTCATTCATTTCACAGAAAACATACTAAACATCTTCAAGAGTAAGAATACTTGTAGAAAACTGCTCCAAGCAAGCATGAAGAGATCTTGCTTGCTTTAGCCAATTTCTTGATTTCAAACATTGCTTGATTCTACTTCTATTAATAAATATCGTAGCACTGAGAATCTGTTGGCTTTGGTTGAGGCAAGGTCTCTTGCTTTGTGGCCAGTGTTCTCATTTCTCTTTGGATAAACTCAATTCTAGCAGGTAAGATTTGAAGAGATGGCAAAGTTCAGACCTCTTATGAAGAACAGGCAAACCTTGAGATCCTTTGGTTTGCTCTGTAGTTTCTGAAGAACTGAGTTTCCTGAGTTCTGGAATTGCTGGAAAACCTGTTTTGCTCACTGAGGCACAAATTCACTGTGGAGAACTAAAAGAGTTTTGTCCTTCACCTTTAGGAGGAAGCAACACCAGGCACATAGTTGCACTGTGTTCCCTTCCACGTATTTAGGTGAATTTGTGGCTGCCCCTTCATAGCTGGTAAAGTGTAATTTACTGCTGAAAAATATACAGTCTTAACACATCTATTACTATTCAATTAAAGTTTGCATGAAAAAATCTTGCTTTTCATTTTTCCTGTGAAGATCACACTGCAATCAAAGATGAACCTACTGTGAGGCAGTCCTGCACTGTTTCCCAAAAACAACTGCAGCACAGTTGTGCTTTTGACAAGCTGCAGTAGATAGACTGCACAGCTTTATTGCTGTTAATTAACCCATTACTGACAGTTGTGGGACTGTCATTTCATGCAGGCTGTGTTTGGACATTGTTTGACTAGCAGCAAAAGCAGGAACTGGAGTTGATTCCTTAATAAAAGGGTGGATCCAGAAAAGAAAACTAAGATTATGCCTCTATGTGGGAATATCAGTAGTTTAAAAACAGTCATACCATCCAATTTGCATCTCTAAAGATGAGTGATATTCAGTGAGGTTTAAACAAAGAGAGAATTGTGTATAGAATCATAAAAGTTCCTAATGGAAGGATCCACTAGAGATCATCTAGTCGAACCTCCCACTCAAAGCAGCACCAGCTGTGAGATCAGACCAGTTTGCTCATGACTTTGTTCAGCTGGGTCTTGAAAAACACTGATCCTACGGTCCAGTCCCCTGAACATCTTAATTTTATACTAGATTTTACACCTTATGTTTTTAAATTGTTATTTCCTCCAGAAACATGGCTTTGGTGATGATGTCTGCCTCAGGCCCCGTTGCCTTTCTTGGCCACTCTCCTCCAGCTTCTGAAATAAGTGGCTTACTTCAACTAATTCAGTTCTACAGAGAAACAGATCTGAAATAATAAGTGAATACATATTTTGTGAAAAGAGGCAACTTGTTTTCCAAAATGTGAAGACTGAGCATTTATTTAGTTAAGGTAGTACATTACACTGCAGGATCATTGTGACCAGGACTCATTCGTGTCTCAGCTTTGACAATGTTCTCCCTCCCAGTTCTGGATATTCTTGCCTGCTTTCTAGTTCAGTGACTCTCTTCTTTTACCTTGCTATTCCTCAGCATGTTTATTCATTTTAGGGAGATACCAAAAAGCCTTATTCCATTCTCAGTGGAGATGTCTAGATCACAGAGGAGTACTCAGAATCATTTACTTCAGTACCATATTGTGGTTTTGCTCCCCTCAAAAATAAATTTGCTGTGTTAAAATGTTCTTTTTGTCCTGGTTCAAAATCATAGAGGGTGGAAAGTTGTGAGTTCTTTCATCACAGTGCTCCAGCTTTTTCTGTGTGTCACTGATCTTCAGTCACCAGCCTTGTAAATCAACCTAGACTTTTATCTCCTGTTGTGATATACATTGCTCAGTGGCAGCAGAATAAAATCTGCTTGGAAAAACAAGGGAAAAGCATTACACGAAGTATTAACTTAGACATTTCAGAAGTGCCTAGAGTACAAAGAAAATTAATATTTACAGTCCAATTTCAAATGTGTGCTCATAGGAGCTTTTGCAGTGAGCAGAAGCAGATGCTTAAGAGTAATACCTGACTAGTGCTTCTAGATTGCAAAGATGACTGGACACATTGGTCTGGGAGGTGATAAACCAAAAGCTGTCTCTCTTGGCTGTAGCAAAGCCCAGGGTGGAGAAGCAATTAGCCTTTGGTGCAAAAGACTGAAGAAGGCAAGCCTGAAGAAGGCTTTGAACTTAGTAGTTACAGGTTTCCAGTGTGGCAATAATCTACTGACTACTGCTCCAATTTCTGCAGAGGGAGAATGCCTGTTTGCTAGTGAGGAGACTGTTAGGGAGCAGTGAGGGTCAGATGTGGCTGTAACAGACCGTGATGTTCCTCCTGTGGAGCCACAGTAGCACTTTGGTACTCTGAAGTGAGATCTCCCAGAGCAGACAGACTTCCGTGTGGGTAACAAGCAAACATGTATCCAGTGGGAAAAAAAATTCTCTACCAATTCTACAACCCTTTTTTCTCAACAAGTTATGTCTCAACAAGTTATGACCCCATTTAGCCAGACCAATATTGCTACCAAGAACAGCATCTTGCACACTTTTTTTTCCCCTTGCATAAAATTTAAACTATATATTGAATCAAACAGGAAGTTTATATAAAATCTGTAACTGCACAAGGAAAATTGACCAGCAGAGCCACTGCAGAATAACTGTACTCCCCCATGTGGGCAATCTGTGTTGGAATGAAAATAACTTTATTCTACAAGAGTGCGTTGTTTCCTACCTGTAACTTCAGCCCAGCTGCTGTGCAAACTCTGCAGTCTTCGGAGAGGCAGGTTCTTCTTGTAGGTGATTCAGAGCAAAATCCTCTATTCCTGTCACTCTCTACAAGCTTAAATCACAGTTTCCCTTTTCATAAGGATTCACCAAACTATCCACTCTGAAATCCAGTATGACATATGTCATACAGTTTCATCATGACTAAAGCAAAGGCACACCATTTTCTTCTGACTTCACTAGATGGAGGATCCCCCTAGGAAATACTTTTTTTTTTAACTATGTATGTTCCATAACTGTTCCATAAGTAAAACTGTTCTGTAAGTAAAAGAGACTAACTATAAATATGTAAGCTAAGATGGCATCATAGTTTTCTCCTACCCAAAGATCTATGTCTATAAAATGCCAGAAACACTTAACATCTGTCTCATAGTAGTCACCTGTGGCTGAAACTTGGATTATTTGTTCTTCATTATCTCTGACTTCCCAGCATGTAAAAACTGGGAGAATTCATTAATGTTAGATCTGCTTATATAATCTTTTCATGCTTCTGAAAATGTTTATATACTGTAGGCACTTGGTATAGCCTTCATCTTAGACATGTCATTTTCTAGGAAAGTTTTTGGAAGCTTTAAGGCAACTTTGCTGTTATATTATAGGTTCAATTCATAGAACTTGCTCGCATTACTGAAACAGTGAGTTCTCTTGGAAATATTTGAAGTTAATTGCTCAAGAAATAAATTGTGTTTATTAACTTTAAAAAAGTTGGCACTGAAATAGAAGGGAAAGGTGATGCTTAAATGATCAAGGAATTTTTAAAGGCTACCTTTATACAATGTTTTGAAAATTTTATCTTCAGATTCTGTAGATATTGATGTTTTTGTTTGGATGAACTCCAAGAAAGTCTCAGATTTTGGCAATGAAGTGATACTTATATTTCAGTGAGTTCAGAAATAAGCAGACAAAGAGCACACTTGCAATCTGTGTATGCTGGAGACTCAGGTTTTGAATGTGTCTCATGCTTCACTTCATTAACACAGGATAAAAGCATCTCCCAGGTCTTGCAACATCCCTCAGGTTTAGCATGGTACTACCATCCCAACACTGGATACAGGGAACTGGAGTACTGAAAAACTAAGGGCAAGAGCTGCGAACAGTTTAGATGATATTTTTATTCAGTTATCACTGTTGATACCTATATTCAAATTTTAAATCTTCAAAACTGGCTGCCTTATGCTAAGGCCACCTAAAAGCCCAACAGCTAGATCCACAACAGTGCTTTGCTGG